CTCATCTCATCTGTGATCCAAAGATTATATTAATGATCTTTTTAAACATCTCTTATTAGCTAAACAGTTGTGTTATATTGGAAGTGTATGTGCAAAAATATTGACTAGTCAAAGCAGATGAAAAAATATTGTGGGATAGGTTGGAAAATATTTATAAAATAATATTGTTAACTACTGTAGCAAGCTCAGTAAAGTTACTGAATAACAATACTAAAAACACTATACCCTTCTCTGCATTAAGTAATAATAACAGTAATTTTACCATTAGAGTTAATGACCTATATTTAGCCAGTACATTTTTCACAATTTTCAAAGCACTCTTTTCCTTTCACTTATCTGATATTTGAAGGAATCTTGTGAGAAATGTGAGTCAGATATATATATATATATATATATATATATATATATATATATATACACACTGCAGTATTACAGTGAAGGGTACAGGGGAGTAGAAAAAAAATAATTTATCAGAATTCAAAATGAATTAGTGATAGTTAAGATGAAATCATATTTTAAAATATCAAGGATTGTTCCCACCATATCTATTTTGCAAATCTTCACAAATAAATCGTGTTAATGTTTCAGAGGGAAAAAAAAGAATTTAAAGCATTAGATAAAAATGGGTACTGTAGCATTATGAATGTTTTTTATTATCTTCTATATATGTAAATAATTTTCAAACATATTTTGTGATTATAAACTATTTTAAAATAAATTAAACAGAGCATGCTAAGCAACAAAACAATTCTTCCATGAGAATCTTAGGATATATTAATATTATCAAATTTAATAAAGTGTTTAAATACATACACAATTTTTAAAAGTATGTGCATGAGAAATGTCATAATGTATACTACATAATCATAGATGTAGTATAATATATATTTAGAATATGTAGTAAAACCTGTTGAACAGTGTTTCAAATTACTTTTAATTCAGTTTCCAATGACTAAAGCGTAGTTAAAGATGATTGGGTACAACAGTTATGCGTTGGTGGGAGTCACGGTTTAGATATCAAGAGCATTTTCTCTTTTCTTATGAACCATTCTTGAAATAAACAAACTAGTTCAAATCAAGACAAAACACAGCCATAATCTTATTCAATTGTTAATACTATTTCATTGTAAAATTTCTTAAGCTTTATTGGTTTTTGTGTGTTTTGATCATAAGCAAAATTTGAGGTACCCTACATAACATTATGCAAGGCATTTTAAAACATTTTATGTCTCCTTTGTTTCTGCCTCCCTGAAGTGGATGTTAAAGAAAATATCCTTGCTATATGAAACCATGACATGATTAAATTCTGGCTTATCAACTTTCATATCTACTTTATAATTGTATACATGAACATTTAGCAAATTAACCTAAAAATTTAAACTGGTGTGAATTAAATGTCAGTGTGGTAGTTACTTAATTTTGATTAACGTAGTATTTTTAGGTAAATGCTTTTACCCTATAATGTAACATAGAAGTTATAAATTTTGAATCCTCTAATCCAAGCAGTTCCCAATTTGTAGCCAGTTGCACTGTAAATAACCTATACTTGTGAACAGCTATCATATTCCTATATAGCCTCCTATCTCGATGTCCACCTGCTGTTACTTTGTCCAGTAGTGTCTAGAGAGAACCACTCCTGCAACCTCCATCCATGTTAACCTTACAACTGCTGAGAATCTCTTTGTCTCTACTCCTTTAATATTACAGAATCAGATACATGGGACGCTCTCAATACTTGCCTATATACTGGGTGTTCAAAGAAAAGAATGATAGAGTTGAAGGAACCAAATTTATACTTTACCTAAAAGCATTCAAAACGGGGATTTCATTGATTATATAAGGTGGAATTTTAATTTTATAGGAAAAACGCACTGAGTTTCAAGTAATTAAAAAAATCACATTTGAAATGTAATCAGTTCACAAATTGGGAAATATTTGTGAGTGGGTAGTCATAATGGCTATTGTAATTTATTTTCAGGGATTAGTTGTAGGTTAACATCTAGAGCCAGAGTTGGAAGGAATATTTCTACTTTCTAGCGTTGTGACTTTAGGCAAGTTACTTACCCTGTCTTTGTCTCAGTTGCCTTATCTGTAAAATGGGGGTGATATTAGTAACTACCATGTACATAAGTAAAATCAAGAATGCTGCAAGCCAAGAAATTTCTAAAATAAAAGTAACTTTGCTGGATTGGAAATAGTAATTATCAACAAACATATTCCAATATACAGAAAAAAAATTTTAATTTGCACCATTAAGTAACATTGAGTGAGCAAAGGTAAAATATGAAAAGAAAAAAAAATATTAATCAGATCAACAGTGAAGTTATTTATAAATGGAACTAAAACACTGGGATAAAATTAGAAAATAGAAGTAAATTATTGGAATGTGTGATTATATGAATTAAAGCTTTATGATTTTTCAGTCTTTATGTGGTTATAGTATGTTCTCTGGGAAGTTTAAGATCCAGTAAAAATCTTTATCCCTTCCTTCCAATAAACATACACAGAAGCAAAGCAGAGCAAAACAAAACAAACACTAAGTCATGCAATGGATGTGTTTATTTTTATTTTGTTGCATTAGAATTGGAGGTTATATGTCTCAACTGCTAAATTTGAATCATTAGGTAAGAAGTTTGTTACATTATATTACATAACAAACCAAATTATCTAGTGTAAGTTTGTATTTTTAACCTTTGTTATATATGTGTTTGGGGATGTCATTACTTATACTAGATAGTAAATTTCCAAAGGTTGGGAAGGGAGCATTTTATTTAGTCCCAGCTCTAGAATTAAATTCCTTACTTATATCAGATGACTAGGTTTACATGGATCTGGGACCAAATGAAAACAATTATTTTGAAAAAATAGTGATTCTATAAGATTCCTAAATTGGTTTATTTTTAATATTTATTTTGCATCTTTTATATATTTCTAATTTTTTAATGAAATAATACCAGGGGTCATCAGTCTAACATTTGGGAACTGCTGATTGTAATAAGAAACTTAGCACTAGAACTGACACGTAAGTGTTTCCTTCCCAACCCAAGCAGTGTTTCCCACAATAAGCCAGGGATACTGTCTAATAAATCATACAAGTCTTTCTATGATCCACATTTCCATGACAGTGTCAAACACAGAGGAGGTGCTCGGCAAATATTTGTCAAATGAATGAATGAATAGAAACTCAGTTGGAACCATACTGTAAAATAAACACAGTTTTCAAAATCCTAAGCCTGCTACAAAGTAGAATTAAACATGATGAAGCTTATACTAGGTATGAAAGATTTATTGCCTACATTCAATAAAGAATGGTCATTACTTTTAAACATGCTCAGTCAAGTGGCAGAAGTTTTTGAAAATTATCTGGTTTGAATGATGGTTGTAAAAATTCCTCAAAATATTTAGAAAATAACTGACTCAAGAAAATACAAGGACGTTTAGAGCACACTTTTTAAAAAAAAGGGGTTTGGAACCAGTTGGACTGTGAGGCTATTAATAAAGGCACTAATTTTCTCATATGTCATATGGAAATAATAATATCTTTCTTGATTGTGCATAATGACTGTCAGTGTTACATAATCCACATGAGCTGAAAACTAGTAGATCTCTAGTGGAAGCTGTAACATATAAGAACTTGCTCCTTCCAAAACAAGAGAATCCCAATTAGAGCGGGGATCCTGGAAGTATTGGGGAATTGTCATGTATGTCCTTATTATTATTCTAGTATACATAAGGACTTCCTGATCTCTGTTTCCCAGAATTCACAGCCGCAGTGTAGAGCTGAAGCCTTTATAACTCATGTGTCATCCTTAGCTACAGACCCAGAACTGATGTTTCCCAAGCCAGAAAGTGGAACAGGACGTAGGAATTACTCTAAGGAGATAGCAGTAGGGCTTTTATATACATGAGAGTTTTGTCAGCTAAGGGAGGCATCCAGGCCAGTCAAAATCCTTTATTACTGCATCGAAGCAGGAACAAGATTAATAAGAAAAAGGCACAGAAGGAAACACATTTCCACATACTTTTCTCCATGGCCGACCATTGGGAAAAGTCCTTCCTTGACCAGTTGGGTGCTCTAATGAGGTGCTATGGTTCCATTGCTATCAAGAGCGAATTTATGTTATAAAGTTCCTCTTTTAGAAGTAGTTAATGATTTTTTTCCAATTTAATCCACACATCTAAACCATCAAACTTGTAAACTTGTTTTTATAGTGTATCTGTTAGAAGTATACTCTGGAGCCAGCTTTCTTCCTTGGGTTGAATCTTCACTTGTGTCACTGCTAACTGTGTGAATTTATGTTCCTATTCAAATGTCACCTTCTTAGAGAAGTCTCTCCTAAGCTCTTTAAATAAAGTAGACCTCTCCTTAAGTAATTCTCTATCCCTTCATTCAGTTTAACTTTCTTCCTAGCATTTGCCACTATCTGATATTATATTAATTACACATATATGTCTGTGTCCTTGTCTCCCTTGCTTATTGCTATATGTTTAGCATCTTCTGATATGTCTGGCACATGGCTGGCATAAAATAAATACTTGTAGAATTAAATAATCACTAATTTCAGTAATGGACTATTTTCAACTCTATGACTTTAATAACATCCTACTTATGTTTCCATGGTTATTCCCCAGTCCTAAGGCTCCAGCAAAACAGTCTTATTCTACTTCTCATTAATCTCCACTTTGATTATTGTCTTAACTCTGCCAGTTCTAACGGTAGTTATATTGTGGCTGACTTCTAAAGATAAAATAGCCTCCATTGTCTTTGATGACAATTTGCTCTTTCCAGAGCCCACTAGGAATTAAAAAGGAAATTAAGATATCTTTCATGGTCTTAACTTTTTTTTTCTTGCCATAAAACTTCTGATTCTTATGTAGTCTCAACCTCAAAATACATCTCTCATTAATGGTAAAATCTAGAAAGGGTATTAAAGTTAAATCATCTTTCTGAGTTTACACAGGTGATGACAGTAATATAATGTACTTTGTTTTTCTTTCAGATCTCCAACTAAAGACATGGATTCAGAAGAGAAAGAAATTGTGGTTTGGGTTTGCCAAGAAGAGAAGATTGTCTGTGGGCTAACCAAACGCACCACCTCTGCTGACATCATCCAGGCTTTGCTTGAGGAACACGAGACTACATTTGGAGAGAAACGATTTCTTCTGGGGAAGCCCAGTGATTACTGCATCATAGAAAAGTGGAGAGGCTCTGAACGGGTTCTTCCCCCACTAACAAGAATCCTGAAGCTTTGGAAAGCATGGGGAGATGAGCAGCCTAATATGCAATTTGTTTTGGTTAAAGCAGATGCTTTTCTTCCAGTTCCCTTGTGGCGGACAGCTGAAGCCAAATTAATGCAAAACACAGAAAAACTGTGGGAGCTCAGCCCAGCAAATTACATGAAGACGTTACCACCAGATAAGCAAAAGAGAATAGTCAGAAAAACTTTCCGGAAACTGGCTAAAATTAAGCAGGACACAGTTTCCCAAGAGCGAGATAGTATGGAGACATTAGTTCATCTGATTATTTCCCAGGATCATACTATTCATCAACAAGTCAAGAGAATGAAAGAGCTGGATCTGGAAATTGAAAAGTGTGAAGCTAAGTTCCACCTCAACCGGGTAGAAAATAATGGAGAAAATTATGTCCAGGATGCATATTTGATGCCCAGTTTCAGTGAAGTTGAGCAAAAACTAAGCTTGGAGTATGATGAAAACCAGATTCTGGAGGACCTGAGAGAAAGTGATGGAATTGTACAGCTGGAGGAACGACTAACATATTATAGAAAGCTCATTGATAAGCTCTCTGCCGAAATAGAAAAAGAGGTAAAAAGTATTTGCACAGAGATAAATGAAGATGCGGAAGGGGCAGCTGCAAGTGAACTTGAAGGCTCTAATTTAGAAAGTGTTAAGTGTGATTTGGAGAAAAGCATGAAAGCTGGTTTGAAAATCCACTCTTACTTGAGTGGCATCCAGAAAGAGATTAAATACAGTGACTCATTGCTTCAGATGAAAGCTAAAGAATATGAGCTCCTGGCCAAGGAGTTCAATTCCCTTCATATTAGCAACAAAGATGAATGCCAGCTAAAGGAAAACAGAGGAAAGGAATCTGAGGTCCCTACCAGCAGTGGGGAGGTTCCTCCTTTTACTCAAAGAGTATTTAACATGTCTTCAAATGACACAGACTCGGACACTGGTATCAGCTCTAACCATAGTCAGGACTCAGAAACAACTGTAGGAGATATGGTGCTGTTGCCAACATAATTTGAATGGCTTCTTTCTGACCTAGCATAATGTTGTTCACGTTTGTTTAATTTAGTAGGAAACTTTAAATATTCCATTCTGCAAAAAAATGTAAATCATGTTAAAGTGTTTGGTAGTTAATAAAAACTAGAGAATTTTGTAAGTTTGTTTTTGATTTAAGAGTTCCAATGTGACCTAATTATTGCAAGTTCAAACAATGAACTCTTTATTAAGAATGCAGCACAAATAGCTTGCAGGTATATAACAGAGAAATAATTTGATGGGAATTATCATCTCATAGCTTCTGTGAGAAATGATTTATTCAAACTGCAAACTAATTCTTGATATTAGTCAATATATTGAAACTATACACATGAACAAGTAAAATTAAAATGTACTGTTATATATTTTTCAACAATGTATCATTGGAATTTTATAATCTGTAAAGTGCATGACAGCTACTATATTGTAACTGTATTAATTCAAATCCTGATTCTTTTCATTGATATTTAGAATGTGTATCATCTCTGTTACTTCCTGAACCCCTCTACCTGTTAGGCCTAGATGACAGGAAGTAGGAAGGGTTGCTATTGGGACATGTACAAATACCAGCAGTGGATCAGAGAGGAGTATAGATGAGCAAGGCCAAGTGCTGCAGACAACAGCAACTTTTCTAAAGAAGCCTAAAATTATTAAGGGATATGTATGTGCTTTCTCTCTCTGATATGCAAAACTTTGGTCAGACCAATGGTCTGTGCAGTTTCATTCCTTGAATGAGATGTGGCGTGGGTTACAGAGAAAATCACAGGGTCCTAGTCCTGTTAGATTATACCTTATCTACAAAAGTTGAAGGGATGCAACTTGGGGTCCTTCGTGTGGGTAAAATAGAGTTCTATGTGCCGTAAGTATTAATATTAGCATTTTGTCTCTGAACATATAGATAGGACCTAATATGGACAAAAATCTTTTATTCTGCTACACACTGTAATTCAGATTATCTTTGTAGTACTTCATCTAAGGTGCAAACTGAAAAAAAAAAAAAGTGCTATTAGCTCTACTCTCTATCCCACCCTCAAGCGTGATAGTAACTATTCAACAAATTGAATAGATTATTTAGATCCTATCTTGACTGACAGTCATTACAGTGCCAGAAGAGGCTTGGTTTTGCTTCATTTTTAGTTAGGAAGTTCCTTTCTCCTTCTCTCTCTTCTCTCCTGCTTCTTTCCCTTCTTTATTTCTTGCTATTGAACATATATCATATTGAAAACGGTTTTATTGTACTGTTCAATGAATACAGCTGCAGTTTATTTTTTCTTTAGCTAACACCTTTCCCATATGTCAGTGCACATTAAGTAGAAATATTATTTTACTTAGTTTTAATATGTGGATATTGGTTAAGATTCCCAGTATTTCTCATTTCTTCCCTTTTATCCTTATGTTTACTGTAGTGTATGTTTTAACTCAGTTTCCTAATCTATTTTAAAATTTCTCCATCCCCCAGATTTCACCTATCTTTGGGAAGATATTTAGAACTTTCTTAATATTTCACTTTTGGAGAACATCTAATGTTATTATTTTTCATGCCAAGATATTGCTGAAGGCCTCATTTGAAGTTGGATGGTAAGAAAAGTAGGAATTTCCATTCTAGGGAAACTAAGGTGATAAACAGTAAGTAATAACACTAACATGGGTTTAATTTAAAAGAAATAAGAAGGGAATTGAATAGTCATCTGAGAAAGGGAAGTTTATTTGCCTAATATCCCATTAAATCATTCAGCACTACAGTGAGCTATTGAGATATTTATTGTTCACTACTGGGGATTAAACTCAGAAGATCATCATCAAAGATAAACCAATTGTAATGTTTTTCTAAAGTGAAAGTAATCTCTTTATATTACTCTTTAGTGAGAAAATAATGAAAAGAACATTGTTATCTGCTATATAATTTGATTAATTATCTGAATTCAAAAGAGTTTCTGATAAGAAACAGGACTAGACAGATAATTTCATTTTAGAAACTGCATTAATGTCTGCCTTTATACAGTTAAGCACAGTGATGCATTCTAGGGGCCAATTCTCCTATATTTTTAGAGTAGATAATGTTAAAAACTCTTGTCAGAAAGCAAAACCATCAAGTTTTAAATTCACATTAGAATTTCTATTTGTTCTTTAGTTATATACAAATGTATTTGTGCTTTTGATTCATTACAATATTAAATCATCAGTTACCATGGTGAATCTCCAATTTAAAGTAATAATACAAATAAAAATACTAAAATACGATGCACTCATCTCTGGATGCTGAGCTATTCTTTATCAAATTAAGTGAGAATTTATATTATGAATTTATAACTTGATAGAAACCTTAATGTTTTAATTATTTATAGAGGCTTTAAAATAAAATGTTTATAAATTCTTGAGTAACCTGACAGGTTAACTATGAAATTGCTATATGTAGCTAGAAGTAGCAAACCAAAGCTGACTAATCTTTCCTATAACAAGACAGATTTTCGTTGACTGTGCCTTGTTCATCCTCCCACTTGCAATGTCTTCTTCCTCCATCTGCTATACACTGAAATCCCACCCATTTCAGGTTTTTAACATGTTATCCCTTCTATAAAACATATATTGTTCCATTCAACCTGTTGTAAATCTCTGAACCCACAAATATTTTAGTGTATTTTTCATAGAGGAACATTTATATTCTAGCTTAGCTTATGTTTATTTATGTACTTATCTAACTTCCCTCCCCCAGTGTATTTTTGATTGTATTACTTTGTCTTCTATCTTGTTGACCTTATTCCCTACAACAACCTCTTTGCCCCTACTCAGTTTTGGAATTGAATTGCTAAATTTTAGAAGATTGTAAACTTTAAAAAAAATTATTTCCATACATGGTAAATGATGCTTGTGCATTTTATACAGAAATATGCATTTTAGAAGACTTAAAATATTTACAGTAATTCTACTTATATATTCTTTGGGGAAAGCACTAAATCTTAGGGTTATTGTGAAAAAATTTTAATGTTGTATCAATTTTCTATTTTACTTTTAATTCACAGAGTTACTGATTTAAAACAATGGAAATATTGTCTTTTTTTAAAGCCCCTCAATGGTTAAATTATGGTATTTTCCTCTGCATCCCTTGCATGTAAGAAAAATTATATTTTATAGAACTAGATTTTAAGTGGTAGACACACAAAATAACTTCAAAGTCTCTTTTAAAAATATCTATTTTATTTTCTTTTTAATTAAAAACATAAATGGCCTCTCATTAGCGTGCAGAAGCTATTCTAATCCATTGAAATTTTATTTTTATATTTATTTAAACATCTATTGTACATGACAAAATATATTTCTGTGGCTGCATTTCATAATTTTTCTAAGTAGGATTATTTTATTTAAAATATTTTTCTAGTGACAAAGGAATACCTTTTAACATAGATTTCTTTTAAATATTAGGCTATTTCATTTCATACTACCTGATTGGTTTAATAACCTGCTATGACAAATATAAAGTACAAATAATTTCTTCAAGTGTAACTGATCCAGAATAATAAAAGACATGGTTGTATTTTTTCATGTGATATTGTTTGTTTTTCTGGGTGTGTTACTTGGCTATATTAAAAATAAATTTTGTATCAGTTGAAATTATATAATTGCTGAGCTAACTCACACAAGTTAAGATCAGATATTGTTTCATGACAATATATATAGCAAAAAAGATCTAACAAAACTTTTTGTTAGGTTTCATACATATTTGTTTCAATTTGTCATGAAAGTATGTCCTCACTTTTACACTGGACAGCTGGTTTTATGGCCTGGTATGCTGCTTTCTAGAATGAAATCCATTTTAATGTAAAAATACTCAAGTGTAAATCTTACTTGCTATTATTCAGTTTGTCACTACCCTTATTTCTCAAAATAGGTCTTTAATTTTGACTGTCTTTGATAACTAAATCATTTGAAATGTAAGGAAATTCATTTGCTCCTTCTATAAATGACCATGAAATTACTCTATTTTAAAAGACTGTATATAATGTTTAGTAATGACACATAGAAATAAGTTAACACTATTTTCTTAGCCAGTGTATCTAAATAGTGAGAGAAAACATACAATAGTCATTTTGTTAATCTAGCATTAATTTGTGTTTTCAACAACTGTTGGAATTGAGAATCACAATTTGTAGGTTTCATAATTAATAGTTCCATATCAGGAAGTGAAAAACTAAATGATTACCTTCATATTTTAATAAAAGCAACTTAAATATTAAATTTTTCCTAAATAGAAATATCAGACACATTTTTACAAAAGACTACTAAGTCTCTCCTTACATTTCATATGTATATATAATGCATGTGTAATACCATTGAATTTACTTTCAAGTAAAATAGACACATGATATTCAAATTATTATTATTATTACTATAACTCAAACTACTCAAAAAATGTGCACCATGAAAAGTAAGTCTCCCTTCTATCCCATGGCCTAATTACCCAGCTATCCTCCTCAGAAATATCACTGTTATTTATTGTTCTAGAGATAATCTATGCATATACAGATCTATACATATATATTCCTACATTATTCATGTAGAGATTCCTTATTCTGTTTGATGGCAGCAGGGGATTCCACTATATCAACTGTCATAATTTTATTTCACCAGTCCTCTTTTGATGGGCATTTCTGTGTCTCCCAATCATTTACTATTATAAACAATCATTTACTATTATCCCATCAATGCATTTCTGTGAGGCTAGATTACTAGATGTAGAAATGTGTCAAAGAGTGACAAATGGATTTTTTTTAATTTAATAAACATTGCTGGTTATTCTTTATGGAAATTAACTCTTTAAGAACTGAGTTGGAAATGTACTCCTCCCTCCCACGGTGTGTGCTGTCTTTTATATTTTATTTGAATGCAAAAATGTTTTTTAATTTTTTGAATTTGACTTTATGGATTTTTCTCATTAATAACACATGAGGGTTTTTTCCTTGGTTTTGGTTATTCTTAAAAAGGTCTTTCCATTGCGTAATAAGTAATTTTAAAAATAAGTTTCTATCATGTCTTTTTTATACTATGTTTTATGTTTTACTTTTAAACATTTGAACTATCTGAAATTCAGTTTGTTGCAATGTTCAGAAGTAGAAAGAGTTTTTTTTGATAGTTACC